CTAATTTAGGATTCAGTCAATGAATCCCAAATGTTCTTCTGAAATGTGCATCATTCTTTAAAAAAAAATTAAAAACAAACAAACAAACAAAAATTTTATATATATATATATATATATATATATATATATATATATTAATTGGTTTCATAAAGGAAAAAGGAGGGAGAGAGACAGAAATATCAATGATGAGAGAGAATAATTGGCTGCCTCCTGTATACCCCTTTCTGGGGATCCAGCCCGCAACCTGGGCATGTGTTCTGAACAGCTGTCGAACCATGACCTCCTGCTTCAACACTCAACCACTGAGCCATGTTGATCAGCCTGCTCTGTGTTTTATAATGTCTATTCTACCACTCTCTTTGAGATGACTTGAGTGGGGACCAGAAGAGCCCTGGGTGTGGCATCTCCCCAGTCGGGACACTTGTCTGGTAGTGTACTATTTGAGTGAGACTGAATGTGATTGAATGAGGATGGGAGAGAAATCTATTTGAATCATCAGCTATTCATCTTTCTTGTATTATTCTCTGATTAAAGTTGGGTTTATCAACAACTGCACTGTTGACATTGTGGACCAGAGCATTCTTGGTGGGGGAGGGAGTTTCTCTACCAATTGAGGGAGGTTTAGCAACATTCCTGGATCCTCCTCACTAGATGCCAGGAACACTGCTACCCCAGCCTCAAGTTGTGACAACCAAAAATGTCTCCAGACATTGCCAAATGTCCTTTGGGGCGGGGGTGGGTGTGAGGAAGGGATTGCCTCCAGTTAGTTTTATTTCCTCCTCAACCGACTCAACTCTGGATCCAATGTAGAAAAACTAGAAGATCAGGAAGTTGTTATCGATCTCCTAATCACTATCAGTATGATCAGCAATGCCATAAAGGGTGATCTTACTGTTCAGCATCACCTTAATGAGGATGTTCCAGAAATGATGCAAGGCAGTCCTTGAGAGGCAAGACTAGGTGTTAGCATGATATTCACAGCTGGCATTTAGTGAGCGCTTGCGTGTGTGCCAGACACTTGCTAAGTGCTCTCTGTGCTGCCACTATTGTACCCACCCTACAGCTGAAGGATCTGAGACATGGAGATGTGAAGGGACTTGCCTGAGCTCCCCCAGCTGATAATAAGAGTTACCTGGGCAGTGTAGTTCCAGAGCCCATCTGCTCATAAGCTCATACCCCGTCTGTCATACTGCCCTTCCTGTAACATCTGTACTTCGTTCTGTACAAATTCAGCATAGTACCGAGCATATGGCAGGTTCTCACTAGACCCCTATTGTTTCTGTCCATATTGACATTGGCATTTAATGGGGCACTTTGCTCCAGATGTCTGCTGCACAAGAGTCCATGCTCAAATGTCACTTTCTCAGTAATAACGTTCTTTATCTCCCTCTTTATAACATTACTCTCCTTCACCCCTAGTTCCTTAATCTGTTATTCCTTGTAACACATATAATCATATGCTTATTGCTTGTTCTGCCACTCTTCAATGAAATATGAGCTGCATGAAAGGAGGGGCTTTGCCTGTGGTGTGCTACTGTATACATAGCACCTAGCACATAATGAAGACACCCTTTAACGGAAATGCTATATTCAAATCTCCTTACTCTGGTTATTTATCAGTACTTTCCGCTCATTACTGCATTTAAAAAGTAACCTTTCTCTTAATGACCGGGAACATTTGTGCAGAAGAGGGACAAAACCCTCAACAGGTTATTGGGAATCCTAAGCTAATGTGTATCAGAGATATATTGTTATTTGGCTTTTGTCACTCACATATATTCATTTTAAATTTTGCTTGGCTGGTCTGTGAAAGTAATTCAATAGAACTCACGATAATATACTTAGTCCATAAAATTAATTTATATTTAGTTTAAATGACATAGTAAATTATAAATTTTTTTAAATCCACACCTGAGGATGTTTATTGACTTTTTGAAAGAGGAAAGGAGAGAGGAAGAGAGAAACACTGATGTGAGAAACATTGCCTCCCATATGTGCCCGACTGGGGATCAAACCAACAACCTAGGTATTGACCAGGAATCAAGTCTAAAACCTTTTGGTATATAGGACAATGCTCCAACTAATGGAACTAATCGGCCAGGACTATAAACTACTTTTTGAGAAACATGTTATAGACAATATAATGGAAGATTTTTGCACGAAAATAATCAGAAGTTGATTCCACCTTCCCATCTCTTTTCATAACTATTATACATAAGTTAAAAAGAATAGTTTTAATTAACATTTACTAAACTCTTAGCAATTGTTCTCATTATATGGATAATGAAGCCACCTAGTAACACAGTTAAATGACAGTAAGTCGAAGCTCCTTTATTTCAAAATGATCTTTCTCACCATCCAAAAAACTATCTAAAATGTTTTGACTTCTTTCCTAAAATGGAGGGCTTAGGGTCGGTGCCCAATATTGTTTTCATAAAAACATCAATTGCTGACCTGAAATGAGACAGTTCAATCTATTTTTTTTGATCTAGACACGAGAGAGCTCATTCCCCAAACTTGCATACTAGCCTGAGAAATTTATATAAAATCCCCCCTCATCTGTGTTTAAACATCCTCAGATCCCATGCAGCTACATAGGCTGGGGAGGCAAACAGATGCCCCCAAATTAGGAAGTATGTTTAGCAGAACACCATCTTCTGGGCTCGTTACAGGTTCTCAGCTCCCCAGAATCCCCATATCCACAGTCGGTGTGCTGCCACCTTCCTCACTAAATTCCAGTGCCAGCCATCTGAGCACATGGACAGGAGACAAAGTGCTCACTAAATCTTGCTCAACACTGGGTCCAATTTTTTTTTAAAAAAAATCTTATTGATTTTTTTTACAGAGAGGAAGAGAGAGGGATAGAGAGTTAGAAACATTGATGAGAGAGAATCATCAATCAGCTGCCTCTTGCACACCCCCTATTGGGGATGTGCCTGCAACCAAGGTACATGCCCTTGACCGGAATCGAACCTGGGACCTTTCAGTCCGCAGGCTGACGCTCTATCCATTGAGCCAAACCGGTTTCGGCTGGATCCGATTTTTAAAGAGGTTATATAGCATGGCTTTATGCTATAGCTAACCTGTCTTATGTTCTTGAGGTGTGCCTAGAGTGGCTTGGATTTGGATGTTAGAATAAATTCACTCCCTTAAAGCCCCATATAAATGAACTTCAAAGACCCAGCTGGTAGAGATAGCTATTTAAGCACGTAGAAACATAAGATGAAATGATGCTACCTTTCAGGTTTGGACAAAATGAAATATTTTAAAAGTTAGGACTCAGAGGCCCACGGAGTTCCAGATAGATTTAGACCTTCCTCCAATGCCTTCCAACCTGAGGACAGCAGCAGCATCAGGAGTAAATGGTATAGACACTTGGCATGTCATGGAAAGTCACCTGTCTTGGAGCAATAAGGCCAACGGTGCTGGTGCCCATTGCCAGGCTGGCAGTGGGAGAGACACCTGGTCACTTGATTTATATATATCTCTTCCCCTGTCTTGGGAGATTCCAATTTAATCTGTTAAATGCATTTTTAACAGATGATTCTGATACACAGCTAGATCTGAGGAATGTCGCAAAGACTGAAAGAAACAACTTTTCCTGTTAGGAGAGGTGACCAGGAAGGGCCCAGTATCACCAGTCATACTGGGACTGAGGTCCTCTGGCTGAGGGATCAGATTAAAAAAATTAATTGCCCAGACTCTAGAGTGATGCATATGGTATCATTACAACTTATGCCTCACACAAGAAAGAAAGGGCGTGGTTGCTGGTTGTCTACTTTCTGCAAATTCTTAAGAGGGTAATGTATCAATTAGTATCGATCAGTTTAGACTTTATAATCTGACACTGGACATCTTGGTAACTTTTATATGTGTGGGTGATCCTATATAATAAAAGGCTAATATGCAAATCGATTGAACAGTGGAATGACCAGTCGCTATGATGCACACTGACCACCAGGGGGCAGATACTCAATGCAAGAGCTGCCCCCTGGTGGTCAGTGTGCTCCCACAAGGGGAGCAGTGCTCAGCTAAGGCTGGGGAGCCCAGTGGCAGTGGTGGGATCCTCTCCTACCTCCGCAGCAATGCTAAGGACCCCTCGGGGAATGTCCAACTGCCAGCTTAGCAGGAAGGTGGACATTGTCCAAGGGGTCCTGGACTGTGAGAGGGCACAGGCCAGGCTGAGGTTCCCCCTCCCCTCAGGGCTCGGATGTTGTGCACCGGGCCTCTAGTAGATAATAACGAGAGAAAAAATATCTATGGAGATGATTATGCTCTTAGGTTGGGATACTCTGAGTATTTACTGTTAAGAAAATTAGAAAACATAAAAGAGGACATTCCAAACAGAGTCTTATTTTGGAATTTTAATGTTAACAGATGATAGCTTCCCAGGTGAAAATCTTCCATGTATTAGGAAAACACCGAGGAGAAATGACATAAAAATCAGGCCCAGCCACCCCGTAAACTTAAGAGCTTGCTCTGTTGTGCAGAGATTTTGTTTCATATTTGTGATAACGGATAACTGTTGTCCAACCTCATGGGTAAGTGTCCAATCCTGTTCCTCACCCTCTTTTTTAATCTACTGGGAACTCTGAGTTCACATCACTGTGGAATGGACTGATGGGCTCTTTACTGGAAGACCCATTTCCTGTCTCTCCTTTCCCATTGGGCAAGATATGGACAGAGAAGTTAATGGACTTACTCCACTGATACTGTATGGTATCAAATAGGACCCCAGCTAAGAAGTCTCTGAGGTATACACAGATAGGGAAGCTAAGGAGAGATGGCAGTATTCCTTCTCCAGTGATGGAATGTGCCAAACACACAGTTACTGAGTCTCTTTTCTAGACCTGAGTAGAGCTATAAAGCTTTCTTGGCTTGAGCATGTGTGGGCACAGCTTGAGCTCACGTGTACACCAGCAGAGACATAAGCAAATTTCAGACACAAGTAGCCTTCAGTTAATGTAGCTGAGGCTGGTGCCAATGGGGACGGAGCCTCCTCAAGGGATGCGGGTAGACAGAAGACCCAGCGACAGGTTTCTCTGCTCTTGCTCAGATCTGACCTGGCGGTAGCCCAGCAAGTTCATGGTATCACCGCAGACTGTCTGAAGCCGAGAAACCTTTTCATAAGGCAAGGACTGGCGCCAGGCCTGGGAGGTACTGAGGGCATCCCTGGAATCTATTTTGAAGGAATGGCTACCCGTGCCCTTGCCTCGAGTGATGTTGTGTACCCAGGCCTGGAGGTGTGGCAAGAATTTCAACCCTGCATGTTTATACATCCGGGCAGTCTGGGCCAGGGGGTTCTGGACCAGGTCCTCATAGCGCATGAGCAGGTAGCGCTGCTTGAGTGCTTTGGGCAAGGTCTGCACTGCCTTATAGATCTCCATCTGGCTTTGACAGATAACCTGCATCACATAGTAGGGTTTGTCCTCCTCCTTGAGGTTCTGCTGCTTCTGTCCCATCACAATTCGGCTGTCAATCATGAGTTCTGCTGTGGTGCGTCCTCTGGAACGGAACACCGCCCGGGGGTCCCGAACCAGGTGCACGATGTGCAGATTGAGGGAAGGGTCCCTCAGCAGCGGGTGGAGCACCTGCAGGTTGAAGAAGCGCACCTCCTTGAGCACCACGTGGCTGTAGTTGCGGCAGGCCTTCTCCACCATCTCAAAGGGCTGTCTGCTGCATAGGATCTTGCACTGAGCCTGTGGTATGATGGCATCCCTTGGGAAGGCGTCGCAGGCAGGCGGGGAACACAGAGCCCGGCTGGTTTCCCACTGGAAGAGGCTGGACTGTATTCGGGGACCAGGTTTCATGTAGGCATCAAAGACGCTCATGTCACACAGAAAGATGGACCGTATCAGATCCCGCACCGCCATATGCAGGTTCCTGGAGGTGCTTTGTGTGAAGGTCATCCAGACGTGCCAGGCGGGCTCCATCAGGTAGAAGACATCTGGGTGCTGTCCAAAAAGCTGCCCCACAAAAGAAGAGCCAGAGCGCCAGGAAGTCAGGACCAGCACGTGCATGGGCTTGGGCTCCTCCCTCGTGGACAGGGAGTTGAAGTTGTGGTTGTACAAATGGATGTATAGAATGAAGATGGCCATCTGGGACATCAGGAACAACAGCAGTGGCCTCATTTTGGGGGGCAGTACCATCGTGCTGAAGTGGAAGACCTTTAAGGAACAAGCAGAGGGGCTGTGTTGGGCTGTTGTTTTGGTGTCTGCCTTCTCTTCCCTCCTCAGCCAAGGCCACCTTCTCCCTGACCCCCACCAGTGAGCAATGCAGAGAGCTGGAGCCTTCTTGCAACCAATTGCACAAATGCTCCTCAGAATCAATTCCTGACTCTTGAAATTAGTGTGTCAATAAGTTCTGTTTCTTTTAGGCTCTTTACCTCCTCTCTCCTTGTTTTTCTTGTCCACTGTGCTATGAAAATTTTCTAAACTCTGCGCCGTATTTCATCAATGTAGGGAACAGCTCCACCCTGGCACCCTGGTGACATGCACATCTTCACCCAGGCCACTAGGCAAAGCTTAACTGCAGTCTGGCCCAAGTTATGGTTGAAAGTCCTATGTTTTCTTCGGGAACTAAGGAAGATAAGCTGGCTTATGAAGAACTACCACGAGGCCATCACCCACCCTCTTGAGATAGCCACATTACCTTTCTTTATCTCAATGAAGCACAGGACTCTCAGTCCCCTGAAGGTTACAGCTGCAAGCTACAGAGCTGCTTGGCTTCAGTTTGGAGTTATCGCCTCAGTATCACGTGGTCCCCCTGATGTGGTCTCATCCTGTGGGACTAAAAACATGGGGAACTGACTCAGTGCTGACCTCACATTATGTGTAGGTAATAAATTATCTGAAGCTACTTGGGTAGAATTGTCTCATTAAAGCCAACTCTGAAAAGTGTGGCAAGCCAACCTGAACTGCAATCATGATACTATGGCCTGTTAGGGATTGTGCTGCTGCTTGGGGGATGCTGACCACTTGACACAAGCTATTCAGGGCTTCCCAGTATGGTTGGGCATGTTGTGTACTAGGCAACCCTAGGGAATGCTATCTCATCAAGAATTTAAGATATTATTTTAAAAATGTTCTGGTAGGTAACAGTAAACCAACTTTATCTGACAGAATATGTATATTAGATTGATTTGCTAGTTGTTAGATCCTATATAATAAAAGGGTAATATGCACATTGACTAAACAGCAAAATGACCGGTCACTATGATGCACACTGACCACCAGGGGGCAGACACTCAACACAGGAGCTTCCCTTTGGTGGTCAGTGCACTCCCATAGGGAGAGTGCAGCTGAGCCAGAAGCCGGGACCTCTCCTGTCACTGTGGGAGCCTCTCCTGTCTCTGCGGCAGAGCTGAAGATGTCTGACTGACGGCTTAGGCTCCCCTGGGGAGCAGGCCTAAGCCATCAGTTGAATATCCCCTGAGGGCTCCCAGACTGTGAGAGGTACAGATTGGGCTGAGGAACCCCCACCCCCAAGTGCATGAATTCTGTGCAGTGGGCCTCTAGTGTTAAATATTTAGAGAAGCGAATTTCACTTTGTGATTCTCTCTAAGGCTCATACAGACTGGGGGGAATCCCGAGCCAGTCCTGTCATAGTCAGGGCTCACTCTGTGTGCAAAGACCATGGTTCTCAGCATCATGCTAGAATACTATCAATATTCCAAGGGAGATCTTAACCCTCTTCAGGGGTTAAATGATTCTGGATCATTTTGGGTGACTTACTGACATAAATGATTATTAAGAGATAAAATAGCCTTGGCTGGTGTGGCCCAGTTGGTTGGGTGTCATCCCATGCACCAAAAGGTTGCTGGTTTGATTCCCAGTCAGAGTGCATGCCAAGGATGCAGGCTTGATCCCCTGTGCAGGGCTTGCAGGAGATAGCCGATCGATGTTCTGCTATTATATCGATGTTTTTCTTTCTCCCTCTTTTTTCCTAGCTCTTTAAAAATCAGTATTTTAAGAAAGCTAAAATAGCTTATTACACAAAGAATAAAATATTGATAGTAGCAAGGTGCTAATTTGCCTATCACTATATACCGTAACCCAAAAGTTCTTCCTTCAAGCTTTAATAAAGAAGAGAAAATATATTTCTAGACAGTAACTGGAGCTGGATTCAGGGTTGCTGTTTTCCTCGTGACAGGTCTTATCACAATTTTTAAAAAAATATATATTTTATTGATTTTGTACAGAGAGGAAGGGAAAGAGAGAGAGAGTTAGAAACATCAATGAGAGAAGGTCATTGATCAGCTGCCTCTTGCACACCCCCTACTGGGGATATGCCCGCAACTAAGGTACATGCCCTTGACCGGAATCGAACCCGGGACCCTTCAGTCCCCAAGCCGACGCTCTATCCATTGAGCCAAACCGGTCCCGGCAACAATTTTTAAAAAAGTTTTAACTAGGTAATAGTCACATGATTCAAATTGTTTCTAAAATTATCATTAAATTTTGGGAGATCACTCTGAGAATTATTTAAATGTCAAAGCACTATGCTGTACATTAGAAACAAAAGTAAAATCATACTGAATTTAAAAATATTAAAAAAAAAAAACACACAACCCACAATCAAGTAAACAAAAACAGTATTCAAAAAAGGTATCATTATTGTGACCATTAAGTCCACAGATTCAGAGTTTAAAGAAAGCTTCCTAAGATTCTTCAGGCAGAAAGAGTACTTGCCAGCCCGCAGCCGTGCCTGTCACTTGGGTCTGTCACGTATTGCACGGTAGGCGAGGGGAAATCTGTGACAAGAAGCTGTGTCTGTGGAGGAGGCCTAGTCATAGATTAGAAAACTTCTAGAGCTGCTTGTAAAAACAGGTAAAGACATACTTTTTAGAGGCCACAGTATTGTTCTGGGGGAAGAACACCTAAAACGTTTATCTGTTTCGGAAGCAGTAATCTCTTCTCTATTTACTAACAGCTAATATTTACCTGTTAGCTGGTGTGTTGTCATCTGTCAGTGAAAAGACTCCTTCTAACACCTGTCCTGCATCTGCCCATTTCCTAACTTGCTCTCAAATAGCAACTGAGTTTACTTATTATGTCTTTTCAGTTGCTTTTTTATTTTTTGGCATACATGAGAAAATTCAAATGTATATGTGTTCTTCATTTTTCCTTCTTTATAATGCAAAAAGTAGCAAGTAATCCACCCTCGCTACACCTCACTTTTTTAGCTTAACAATATGTCTTGGAGAGCTTTCATGGCCATATGTAAGGCGTTTCCTCATTCTTTTTTATTTATTTATTTATTTTTTATCACTAGAATAAAATAGAATAGAATACTGTTGTGTGTATATACCACAACTTATTTAACCAGTTTCCTCATTGATGGACTTTAGATAAAGATATCTATTGCTCATAAAGCCTTCATACCGGTCATAAGCCATAGGTCCAGAGTTCCAGAGATTCTAGGGAGTGGAGTTTCAAGGAAGAATTGGGCAGCCACAGAGGTGACATTTGGAGTTTATAGTAGAGCGTTCTTGGCCAGTTCACGGGCTTCCCATGGAAGTCCCCTGAACCTTCTGGGAAGTGTGCAATGACCCAAGCCAAACCTTGTGTGTCGGTGGCACAGAAACCCCTCTCTATCATTCATTACAACAATGCGTTTCCTTCACGTGTGCCAGAAGGAGCCAGCGAGGATCATCTCTCCTGGGTGGCCAAAAAGTGCTTTGCTATGTGTGAGGGAAACGCCGGTGAGTGGTAATCCCTGCCTTTGCCCTTACGGTTAGAACGGGAACAGCGAAGGTGTTCTTTCAACTTGAACCCAAGTGGAAATGATTAGAAACTAGCCCATTATTGATAATGCTCTTACCCCTCAAAGACTGAAGAGTAACTTCAGCAAGAGTTGTTCTCCCAAAGGCAATGTGAACATGAGGAAAAGTTTGGAACAAAGATAAGAAACAATGGAGCAAAAGAGGAAAGTGAAGGAGAGAAAAACTTGACCTGTGCATAATTACAAGGAAACTAGGATAGAATTTTATAAGCAGGGCTATCAGGAAAAGGCTAACCTTTTTTTCCTTGGGATTAGACAAGTAAACTTTTCAAGGTTAGCCCTTTCCTCTCCACAGTCCCAGCGTTGAGCCAGCTCGGTGTCCTGAGCGAGCTCCATAGCTCTGAGCCCTCCTTGCTGGCCCTGGACCCTTCTCTTCCGGAGCTGGCGCAGGGCCTTCTGACTCTGTCCCCAGGTGTCCTCAGAAATTAGGCATTTTGCTTCTCAGGAATTCCCATGGAAACCCTTTGACTTCTTTCTCTGTTTTTTCTTTCCATGGGTACTTTCCCTGGCCAGAAAGAAAGTATGCTTTTGTCAAGTGAGTTCCATCTCTTATCTCTGGGATCCAGCCACATCCTGGATCTAGGCAATATGACGGCTGACGAGAACTGCTAGGGAATGCTTTAAGGTGCTTCTTGGGCAAAGCCCATCTCTGCAGAGACTGTAATAAGTGGTAGAAATGGATATTCTTTTTTTTTATTTTTTTTTTTATAGATTTGAGAGAGAGTCAGGGGACAGAGAGAAACATCAATGTCAGAGAGAAACATTGGTCAGTTGCCTCCTTTACACACCCTGATCAGGATCAACCCACAACCTGGGTATGTGCTCTGACCAGGAATTGAACCCTCAGCCTTTGGTGTCCTGATGACGCTCCAACCCTCTGAGCCACCCGGCCAGGCGAGAGGGACATTTTTGAAACCCTGGGAGAAGCGAGGTGATGTGGCTCCTGAAGAAAAGGGAACCAGCAATCTCTTCTAACCTAGCCACTGCCTTTCTCCTGTGTAGTCCTTAGCGTTGATAAGCATTTTTAGGAAGTCTGTGACTGCCCCATCTCAGAGTCCCTGCTCCACCTTCCCAAGTGTTCTTTTCTGGCTGTTCAGGTGCATGCTTGAATCCCTATTGTCAGAATCCTAAGTCTGCTCATCTCTAGCCTGGCTTTGCCAGTAAGCAGCCTCTCCTGTTCCTCAGCTCTCTCCATCAGCCACTGCTGCCCAAAACTACCCTTTTAAGTGCAAATCAGTCATTCGCCTCCTTAAAATCTTTCAACAACTTTTGGGCAGAAACAGAGTTTACCACCCCAAATTAATCATGCCTTTTGGAATCTTGATTATTTTAAGTTATTTTTTTTTTAAAGAAACAGAGGCTCAGA